GCTTGAAATTTTCATGATGAATGCAGTGACTTGAAGAAAGGATTTTCAACATGGAAGAGAAATGAAGCATTTTTACATTGATTCATGTTACATGTTGACAATTGAAAAAAAACATTCATAACAATTATTGCTGTACTTGTAATAAGATGTTTACTTTTCCCCTACTATGGAAAAGAAATTCTGAAGATTCGCAATTTTTCAAATGAACTGACTCTGAATAGCTGCTATTCTAATCAATATTTTCCTAAAGAACCGCATAGTGAAATACTCTACATGGTGTAGTTGGAGTTGGTCACACACTGGAGCAGCACCAAAAAATGCCAAAATAGCTCTTCACATATATTTTGCTTCAGGTGTAGAAAAGCTGAATGATTTCACCATGCTGTGCAGTAATGTCTTTTTTGGTCTCACCCTGTGTATCTTTACTAACATCTGTTGTTGATTTTCTAAGAGTAGTCTTATCAATTTTTATAAATAATGTATAAATAATGTTTCTTTAATCATTTGAAGCTTGGCTTGTTTTGAAGCGAGTTTAATGTTTTTTCCTGTTTCAGGGAATGGAGTATGAGACATTGACATACTGAAGTTGCCTGTGATGGTATATGGAACAATTGCATTTGGCCACAACTTGGAGTCCTGGAGGATGCCATTCTGTGGAGGTGAGGAAGAACATATTTTAGTGTTTGAAAGTGTTGATATAAGTTGGACAAAAGAAAGTTGACCAATGTTTCAAACCCAATTTCTGCTTTTTTTCAACTATCAATTTTTACTGAAGGAAATTATAATTCATTGAAGTATTTTATAGGAAAATGAAATCAAATGATTTTCTCATAGCAATTTGTCAGAAGTTACAGCTTCTGTTTTTCAGATACAGTACAGTACTGTATTATCAAAACTTGCAAAAAACTGACTGCTGTGGAATTTCCAAGTTTTCAAATTTATATAAATTGTTTTTCTCAAGGGAATTTTTTAAATGCCTTTTTCCACCATTATGTGCTGTGAGACATGAGTACATAAAATTAAAAGACATATTTTTAATTAACTTTTACTTGGTTGAGTTTATTTTCAGAAGGGTTTTCTTCACAAAAATTGGGATATTTTGGTATTTGAATGGAATGACCAATGTTTTCCAGATCCAAACCTTAAAAAATAATCTTTTAATGGTTTTATTTTTATTTTTTTTCAGTGTGTAACCCACTTGTGGATTCACGCCTTCAGGAAGAATGATGTCGCCTTCAAAATGTTCTCCCAGTTCAGGATTCCTGCCATTGAGAACATCTTCCTGGGCTTCATGGAAACTGAAATCTGAAAAAAGCCACACAAAAACAAACAAAAAAAGGGATTTATTTCCCATCAGTGGGAGTCTTTTCACAGAGCCTCTTACCATCATTCTTGGCTGCAATGAAGTCTTCAATGGTGAGATGGTTGCTTTTTGATGTTCCAACCTGTAGACAATGAAAATAATTCAAGTATAGTCTGGTGCAACTATTTTTACTGATAATGACATTAGTTTATTTATTTCAGTTTCCAAATCATAAGATGTGCCAGGAATTCTTCTGCATGGGCTTCAGTTGATGAATAGTTGGTATCATTTTTGGTTAATAAACACTGTGATAAGATGTTGTAACCCAGAAACCGAATTGCGATTATTTTCTTTTCTCCTTATTTGGAGGGAGATCCTTCTCTACAAGGTAAAGCATGTTTTATTGTAAGACAATACATATAACTTGCAGGGATTGAGTTGGCCAAGGTTTGTCAAACTCAAAAAGCACTCATACTTGTGCTTTCTATTACATTGAAATCTGAAATAGCATCAGAGTATTGACTCACATTGTGATGCAGATGAGGCATTCCAGTGACAAGGCCAACTAGGCCAGCAAAGACAATGTACAACCACATTTTGCAACAAAGAATATAGGTCTTGGCTTCTTGTTCAGCTTCTGATTGTGGGCTTTGTGGTGTTTTCTTGACTTGACTGGCCCATGTTGATACAGGCCTGTCCTTATATATACCAGAGAATTGGTTCATACATTCAGACACCTGTTGGACAAGTGTGACGCATTATTCTATGCATCTGGTGAAATGTCCCATAGGCTTTCTGTCATGGCAAGTGTTGAGAATTTGAACACTTGTGTCCTTTTGTCTATTGCACATATGCAAAGTTTATTCATCTTTGAGAGTAACCACACCAGTGTGTTGATAATGTTTCTGAAAGGTATTCCACAAAAAGGGGAAAAATTGGGATTCTGACTGCATATGTGGTCAATATACATTCATGAATGCATGGATCCTTTGATGCAAATGTTGGACAAATGGAAATATACCTTTTGGCTTGGATGTGCATAATGTTAATCAAGACTGGACATTAAAATTTCACATCTTTAATTTGAAAAAAAAA